TAATATCTTGGAAAATTACATTAGGAAATGGTATTTATAAGAAATGATTACGATATTTGAACTTATTTTGAAACTATTGGATGAAATTGTTTGAAGATATACAATAACCTTTCTAAATGTATGTAGTTTCAGAAAAATAAAATATCCAATTCTGATTGTTTTCTGTTATTTACACTAAACATTTGGTATTTAATGTAGTTATTTGCATTCACTCTCTAAATAGTTCACCTACAAGGTGATTTTCGTGTTAAATATAAAAATACTATTTTTTAATTCTACAGTTTCACATTTCAGTTTCATAGTCTCTAGAACCTCACTCAAAAGTTTTAAGGTAAATGTAAATATTATATTTGCCATTTCCTCCACAACATCACTAACTCTAGCTACTATCATCAACATATATTGCAATGAAATGTTTAAAATTAAAAAATGGAAATATAGACATACCTTTCATCTCTTCATTGAATAATCTTACAATATCTTCTTTGGGTCAAATGCACAATTTCACATCATTACCTTTTCACTTATAGTTAATTCTTAATGTTTTATGTTGACACACATCAACAGGTGCCAGCAGGCGATATAATGTTAACTTTAGCAGAGACGGTTTAGCTTCCAGCAAAATGTTGTTTGCACTTGCTAACCTCATGAATGCCAGTTGATCAAAGCAAAGCATAAATTAAAAAAATTAAACCTTTCAAATATGAATTTTAAAACACAAAAGTATAAAATTAGCTTATTAAATTAAAATGTTTCTCAAAATAATTCTTATGTGTGTAAACATATTATGAATTCAAAGTTTAAAACATCACACCTTCCTGCATGACACTTATATAACGAAAAAATACCAGTAGGCTTAGAAATTTTATACAAATACTAATTTTATAAATAAAAATATTTCTTAACCCTTTGAGTGTGTAATTAAATGCATTATGGGGAAACATTTTTATAGCATCTAAAGGGTTAAGGTTAAATCTGAAAGGATTTGCATAATACCACATTAAGTAATTTCAAATTTATTAGCTCATTCCATCGAGGTTTCTAAATTAGGCTTGCCCTTATGTCACTAACAAGTACAAATTTTGTTATGATGAGATTTTTGATTTCACTTGTCCCAGTGATAAGTATCTTTATGCTCCAAAATAATAAAATATATTAGTATTTGTAATCACATTACCAATACTCAAGCATGCGCAACAGTGCTTTAATAAAACATTCACTTTTTTGTGACTTGCAGTTCACAAAACATGTTGCCCTGTAGTTCTTTCTTTGAATAATGGGAAGAAAACACAGAAAAGTATAAAAAATAATTATGGCCAATAATAATAAATTTGTAACATTTGACAAATTAAGTAACTATTTATACATTTATGTTTGGTTTGAAATATCAAAATGGATTTTTAGAACAGCTGATTTTGTTTTTTGCTGTTATGATACAAGATTATGAACAAACTGAGCAAATATATTAGTAGCTACTTGAAAAAAAAGAAAGGTGCACACAAAGGATGCCTATAATCTAGGCCTTTATCTCCAGACAAATTCCAAATATGACATATTTAATAACTTGACTTGAGAGTCTAGTAGTCAAAATAGAAATCTGCTATTAAGAATGTTGGAAAAGGAAAGAATAAATTCTAAAGTTCATTGAATACTACTACTGCAATATAAAATCTCATTTAAGTAATATGTTTTCAACTTATTAACTAAAAACACTGAAATCTTGGATGGTCTCATCTTATTCAATTATTTTTTATGTGAGTTAATGAAAAAACTTTTCATTCTGTCATTCCACACAGGGCAATCACTGCTCTTACGTATTTAAAAAACAAACTTTCTAGCAACAATGACAATTATATATTTTTTTTTTTTTTTAATTAAGGTTGAGAAAATCATACTTACTGGTTCATCAAGTTAATAAAAAAGGCAAAAATAAATAATAAGTAAATGGTGTAAAAACAAATAAACTAATAATGTGCTATTATCGTTACCATAATTCTAATTTGTAAATGACAAAATCGATATATTACAGTTCACCAACTTAATCTAGTTCACATGATAACAGTTGTTGTCCATTTAATTTGATAATAGGAATAGCAACTCAACACCAATTCTGTTTCTGTCACATCCCAGCCAGCCTGACGAGCTCTGGTATTCAGCAAAAGGCTTTGTCAGCACTGGATGTAATCAAATTTTTAGCCCTGCATTGCACTGCAAGATGTACTTTTTTTTTTACTTGAATATACCATAAAAAATTATAACTTGTTTAAAATCCAATACTTACCCATTGGAGGCATAGTGTAGGGTGGTGGCATCATTGGAGGAAGAGGTGGCATCCCTGGACATGTCATAGGTGGCCCATGCGGTGGGAATGACATTGTTAATTAACTTTTCTGTAATAAAATAAACATAAAACTTATAAAGTATGAAACAGACATTCCACATTTTCTTTGATCTGCATAGGCATAAATCACATTCAATGCTAGTGCTAACAACATAGTCCATTTCTCGGTGCAGAATTGCAGCAATGGCTGGCTTTATAAAGAAAAACAAGTGTCAAATGATACAAAAACATATCTTTCCATCAATTCCCATCAAATAAAGACTTAAAGAAGAAATGGATTTTGGTTATTAAGCGAAATGGAGGCCTCTATTACAAGGTAAGTTAGTTGTACATATATATCTATATATCTAACTGGTATTAGTAATAAGTCAAGTGACAATTAATATTATAAATATCTATGTGCAAGCTACCAAGGACTGAAAATTCTATACTTGAAATACACATTCCTATATTGTATAATTTGTTTTTGTAGGTTACAAAGTAAACAGTCTGTTCAATCTATAGGTCTCTCCCTATGTATTGATTCTGGGCCAATGGCCATGTGGGCTTTTATAAATAGGCCTAAAATATACACAATTAAATTTGTTTTCCTAGATGTAGTTATTTGATGTATGCCTTTGAAACATTGGTCTTTAAGAACTACAATTGCATAGATCTATGATTCTGTTATACTAATTTAACAGATCTAGACGTACTATTAATATTAGCCAAGCAATAAATGTATAGGTACCTTATAACATAGGGCTAAATAGTTGGCATTTCAAAAGTTTTGACATACTTGAACCTGCTTAATTGTATTTTAAAAACTTCATAAATCTAGATCTAACTGCAGTTCATATACATAAAGGCAACAAGTAATGTAGGCATATTTAATTTAGAAATTTTAAATGATTATGTTTATGACACTTATTGTTGACATCTAAGTCACTGTGGTTACTGGTATGCATTAGGCTACATTCATAGAAAAATTTGTCAACCTAATGTAACAGGTTTTAAACAGACCAAGTCGATATGATACTTAAAACATTTTTGATGGTAAATCTATTAACTCATATCTGTAATAAAAGCCATTTCATCACATCATTGCTCTAAAATATAAAAATCTATGCTTAAATAATTAACATCAGATCTAGTTTCGACATCATTTCAATCACTATCAGTCCAACCAGTAATGCTGGCTATGAAACTTACCTTCAAACTCATGAATGTAATCACCTAAGTAAAATTTATAATAATAATATTAGCTGAAAGACTGCCAAATTTTATGAAGATATACACACCATATTAAAAGTTAGAAATATTAAATCTATACAAATTTTAAACAAGTACAAAGAGGTCACGTGGTCGGGCATATTGAGTGAGTCTGTATTGAGAGAGTTAAGGGGTTCCAACTAGACCCGTACTAGCACTACTGATAAATGTATATTACTTTCACAGGGCTCGATTTCAAGAAAATTTCCAAGTTGTCCAAAGAACAACGTGACCTGTATTTGTATGGTTGTGTGAAAAAAAAGTACATAGACCCTCAAAAAAGATACAGTTACAAGAATATGTGTGTGTGTGTATAAAGACCTAATAACAAGAATTTTGATGTTTTCACGTCTTATTTATTTCCAAAAAATACAAAAAGTATTTATATTTAAGTGCCGTAGAAATAAGTTAAAAATTACAGCCAATCCATTTTTCAAAAATTTGCCCCCCACCCCAGATCTACAAACTCCCAAAGTTAGTGCAAAAGTCAGCCTTTGCAATTACTTGCTTGAAAAATTGGGTCAGAGACAAGTGGCATCATTCAAAGTGAATAAGGCCAGTCGTGTTTGTCTTCCTCTCTGTGCACCATTTTCCGGGAGGAAAACTCGGATTATGTGAAAACAATTAATTTTTTTTATCAGGACAAATTTCATTTGACAGATGTTGTGAATACAGTTATTTGTAAGTTGTTCCAGAACAACGACAACTATGGTTTTTTTGCTGTGTTGTTTATGGATGTGGGAATTTTCCCAAGGAAAAGGAGGTATCTATGCACAAGTTTCCACCTACGTCAGACAGAAAATAGCACACGGCCTGAACAAAACTCGTGATAAATGGAGTACAACTGAATGCTGCCACGTATGTAGTGAACACTTTTTGGCATCAGAATTTGAAAATATACTACAATTTGATATGAGATTTGCAAAAAAAAATTGTGCTAAAGAAAAATGCAGTGCCCAATGTGTATCCAAAGTTTGAGGGAGATCCATCAAGCAGGGCAAGTAGCAACCAGGCTCATGCCAGTGGTACATCACGCTTTTGTTCACAGACCAATAACAGTGATGATAGTCATGCCCAATAAGCTGTTTGAAAACAAAATGCATACAGGGTAAGCTCATGCTTTAGCTAACATTTTAAGTACAATATAGAATTGTTAGCAAACACTCATGTTTCATAAACACACCAGTAAATCTGCTCAAACAAAAAATATTTAAGAAATTTCACTGTACAACTATCATTTACAAAAAAAATGGCACAGACAAACAACTGTATTTTTTTTATTTATTTTTCATGCTTGTAACACTTTATGAAATTTAATTGGAGTTATCAATATGCAACACAAAAAAATGCTAGATCTACAATATCAATTACGGGAATATGACCTCAGCTATGTTTGCTTTTCCAGTCCTAATTTATACTTAGTCATATGCATACAAATTGGAGCCTGTGCAGAATACTATATCAGGAGTCCATCAGCTGATATCAGATCTAAATCTAGATTCATCACTTGAAAAACAAATATTAACTAGAATTTATATTGACATCCATGTGACCATACTGACAGATACAAATTTCATACAATTTTCATTACATTAGCAGTGTAAACCAGTCTTTTATGATATAACTATTGACACAATTCCATACAAAGAAAGATCAGACAACCACCAGTCCTCGTCCAATTCAGCCAACATCAGACACATTATCATCTGCAAGCTCTGGTTCAAACATATGCGGTGTTATTGACATATTATATCCATCTTCCTGTACACCTGCTGTCCTGATTTTTGTTTACCATATGTGATGTAGGTTTGCCCACCCAGTTCTCTATGTAGCACTTACGCTAGTTTTCCAACCAACCATAACCAAATATGGCCTGGAAAACAAGAGCTTGAGTGTTTTGTGACTTTTTTTTTAATCGCATTTCCTTTCATTGTGATATGATATACACAATCAAGCACGAAAAATGCCCTATTGTCTGTGGTCTTTAACTAAGAACCTATCACCCCTTGAAAATATATTATCCATTTCTTGGAAACAGTTGCAAATCCTTAGTTTTTGCCACATCAAGCAATTTAACTATATAGTTTTCATGCTGTAACTTTTAAATTAGTAAGCAAATGTTAACAAAATTTGGCAGATTATCAGTAAGCATCACAATTCTTTCATACACAAAATATCAAGTTTTTTTACTCAGTTTTAAGGTTTATAAACCAATGTTTTTATCATGTCTTTTTTATCTTTTTGCATGTTGCCTATCTGTCGTGCAAAGTAATATTCATTTTAAGATTAAAAATACTTCTTTGCATCATAAAATTTTGAAATTTCATATGCGAAACCTTTATAATGTCCAGATAGTTATCAAACATTTCTTAAGAAAAAACTTTACATTTTATCTGTTATCTTCCATAATTAATCTCTGTACAGGTTCGGTAGATTTGACCGATCTAGCAACCACCAAAACAAATTAGGAAATAAATATAAGTTATGCCTCTTTCATTCTAGAATGAACACAAATTATAAAATGAAAACATAAATGTTTAAACTAAATAGCTTAAATCTCATAACATTATTCATTTATATATATTTATTATTTTTATTATATTGACTTTTCAGCCATGCCTGGCTAACAATACAGAAGTTACAATGAAGCGTCTCATGTGTATTCGTTACTGTATCAAATAATATAAAACTGACCTTTGGTCATTACAAAGTAACATACCTTAACTGTGTTTTAGTAGAGTAGTATTTTGTAAAATATTTCACATTTCCATTATTATACATTATATATGTATATAGATTATTGCTATTTTGAAATAATTTCTTAAACTTATTTTTCTTAAAACATAGAACAGTAACTAAAGAAATAAAGCAAACAATTATGTCTTATAGTTATGACCTTTGTACACGATTGCTAACACTTGAAAAAATTTGCACATGGAAGATATGAAACAAAATATTTTTTTAGGTTTAATATATACATTTGAATAACTAAAAAATCATAAATTACTACATTAATACCATAGAATTCCACTATAATTTATCAAGCTTAGTAACTACAATGTATTTTAGTCTAAAAAAATATTAAATTTCGAGCAGATTAAAGACACCCTACCACATTGAAATATTGGTTCAAAAGAAAGAAATGGCACCAAGCCCATTAAAATTGATGAGAAAGCCACTAGGAAAACATTCTAAGCTTTCAATTGGTTATTCATGTCATATATAGAAGTAAATGTAAATAAGGGAGCATTTCCAAAAATGGATAGAGGTGGACGGGGTACGACTGTGTTTGATTTATGACATAAGCAATATCTTAGCAAATTGAAAAGATAAGGCTCTTATTTTATATTCTAGCTTGTCAATAATTCTTACAAAACTATAGACTTCACAAACATCTAATTTGAACCAGTGCTGCATTCAACATACCACATGACACACAAAAATCTTTGTTTATGTTTTTTTTTAATATTTACTTTTAAAATAAGAAATTTAGTAATATGTATTACTAAAACTTGAATTATAATCTACAGTTTGATACCAAATTTATTGACATGAATTCATGAAATAGTAGTTCAATAAAATTTTTAGTGCGAGTCAACAAACGAGATGACATGGCCTTCCACCCGTGACCCATCTTGAAAGGTTTAATCACTTATAATAAAACACAGCTTTTAAAACAACTATAAAGAAAGTTGAATAATTATTGGACAGAGCAAAATTTTAATAAAGTATATATATATATATATACATATAAAGGTTTAAAAGCTATTTTTATAATTTCCATAGTAAACTTTTCTT